GAAGATCGGCATGCTGAATCTTAATTGAGCGCACGTAAAACCAATGCCTTTCAAGAACAACCACCAGTAGCCTAAAATATAGGATTTTAGCCGCTACAGCATTTCTTACTTAATGAAAACACCGCAGTTGCGAAACTGTGTTTTTCGACATTAACAGAATATTGACAAAGTTTTGTGCACATTTGCAATGGAAATGCAGCTAGTGTAGATTTTACTCACTCGTCACTTCGTCTGAGGCTCCCATCAGGGTTGGCTGATATTAAATTTAAGTTAATCACGATTAATTGTGGCATTTAGCCGATAACGATTAATATGACGACTAATCCACTGGAGTCCCTGGACCCCAGCACATCCTGGTCACACAACTGATTTAAATCACTGTGGAGGGAAAAGATCCTCTCTCTCTAAGAATCTGTTCCAGTTTGTGTCAAAAGGTGCAGACGTTAAGCCGTACACCAGCGTTTAAATTGTGTTGATGAAACAAGTAAAACCAGAGTTATGATTTTGTTTGTTTGTTTGAAAAGTTCTTCTTGTTTGAAGCGTTGCAGTGAAAGACGAGCAGATTCTCAATCCGCCGTCTGGTGTCAGCCCCGCCCCGCCGAACAAACATGAAAACTCCAAACTAATTTTGGACTTGTTTGAGAAAGCGCCAAAAAAGTCTACAGGAAGAAGAAAATAAAAAGAATGTGAAAGTTGAATAAAGTTCGGCGGTGATGGAGAGATGATGAGATCTGACACGTTAGTGACACCTAGTGTTTGGGTTGTACAGTTAGGGTTTAGTTTAGTCAGCTGTAGTGAAGACTAACGAGGAAGAAGGTGATCTATATCAGGGGTTCTTAAACTTTTTGACCTCGGGGCCCAATTTGTTGAACATAAAGTGACACGAGGCCCAGTCAGACATTATCAATGTATGGATTAAAATGATAATTATTCTAATCTAAATCTTGGTTTATTTTTTATTATATTTACATCATAACTAAACTATCATAACTAACATAACTAAATTAAATACACTTTCAGTTTTAAAGTAAAACTCATGTCAAATAATCACAAGACATGATTATGACAAACACTTTTATATTGTAACCTGCCCATAACAATTATTTGAACAAATACAAAGGTCAGTCAACAGACCACTCACGCTTATCAGCACAAA